AGTCTTCCTTCTTTTCGCCCTGAAAATGTTTGCGTTGGATTGAAACTAGAATTGATTTCTGAAGAATTGGTTTTGCTCTATTTTGTGGCTGCCATGTCTTTCAGTGCAGAGAAAATTCGTAACAAGCAATTAAGGTGGCTGGTAACAGTTTACAGGACTCGCACATTGGTATGTTACAACTTTGTACAAGTCTAACAGTCATTGATGCTAAAATGAATGTTATCCAACTTACGCCCCGCGATCATTTGGAAGCAGACGATGATCTTGTCAGTTTTTTACCTGTCAGATTACCATAGCATCAACAGAACGTTCTTTAATAACTCATAAACTCCGAAATAGTATCGGGAGCCACATGTTAAGATACAACTTCCTGTTGGTGGGGGTACTTTTGAGAGACTCATAGCGCCGGGGTAAGAAGGTCCAGGACTTCTAACCGAAAATTTTGTTAGCAGAGGTATAACCGGGGTAAGGTACAACTCGAGAGTTTAAAGGCCAAAAATTAAGTCTCTTTGAACTTATTTTCTTCCCTCCTGCTTGCGAGTATCTCGTCCTTACATTCATTTAACTGTTCATGGTTGTTTTTTTCGTTTGTTTCTGAAAGAACGCACCATGAATTACTTATATTAAGTGTGAATAGAGAACCGCCGAAAGCAATAAAGTAGATGCAAATTGTGCTTACAAAATAATAAGTTTTGTAACAAATTCTAAGACCTCACTAGCAGTTTATTACGAACGTTTAGGCGCGACAGAACAATTGGAGAGAGCTTACCAGTATGTTGTAAATATTGACGCCGGAGGGCTAGGATGAACTAGAGTAAAAATCCTGACACAAATAAAACGTAATGTACCGTTAGTAAACTTGATAAGCATTACGGTAAAAAAAAAAAAAAAAAACGTTTTGACTGCAAAAAGCGATTACATATCGTGACAGGCGATGGAATGTTAAAATCGTCACGTATAAAATAGTTCAGGGAAACTTACTATTTTCACGGCCGCGGCGCCAGCTCCACTAATAGCACATTTTGCACAAATTATGCAGGCAAGAGTTAACTTCAGCCAAGAAAATGCCATAGCTTCTGAAATATTATGATAATAGCAGTAATGAATACTTCACGACATGTGACGCTATTGAAGAAACTAATCCATAAACCATAAAACTCTAAGCAGTATAAACAATAGAATACTTTCTCCTCCGAATTGAAAAACGTATTAACAATGATTTAGTAATACATAGACAAGTAAAAACAAACGATATAATCTCCCGACGTTTCGGCGACCTCATGACGCCATTATCAAGGGTACAA